CTGCTAGGGTCATAGTCTCGCAGGGCACTCGCCGCGCTAAGTCACAGACCCCAGACCAGCCTGAACTCCCCTCTACTTTCCTCTTACAAAGGAACGATGGCTTGTGGGAAACGCAGCGATGTGACTAGGGTAGCCTAGAGATGGGTTTTAGTGTCAAAAGATCTGAGTTTGAACCGTGCTCGCCTTAGCTATACGGGATACTCAACATCTCTGAGCCTCAATTTCCTCAGGCATGAGAAGGTACTAATTCTTTTTCCTGGCGGTGGTTGCACTTCAGAGAGCCGGAGTTTACACGCCATCGTATTTAATTAGCCAACCACCAAAGGGTGCTGAGGCCCCTCCCTTATCCCAGGAGCTCTCCAGAAACTCAAGAGCTGCCAGGAGCAGGACCCAGGCAATGAAGGAAACCTACTGTAGCTTCTTCTCAAGTAAGAAATGTCCCAAAGTGGGGCAACCTGCCTTCCAGGATGGTTCCATTCTCCCCTGGGAAGAAGGTTGAAGATCTGGGAGTTAGAAAAGACCAGTGCTTCCTTCTGCAGCCAGCAACGTTTCTCACTACAAGGGAACCGCTAATTGGCGTTTGTAGACTTGTGCATGTCGAAGCGCCGGGGTGGCACTCAGGCCCCAGGCCCCAGCACCATTTGGAACCTTGCTCCCAGGGGGCATTAGCCAGTCAAGTCTTCCATAGACTCAAGTGTCTTACAAGCATGTCAGGTCCCTGTCAGCTCGCCTATCTGCGATTCCCGCCCTGCTCACCTTAAAGGTTTCCGTGGAGCTCAGAGGCCCTGTCATGGCAGACATGTTCAAGAGAGCAGGCAGGGCCCTGGGAGAGTGCCAGAGGGGTGGATGAGGTGGCCAGTTGCTGAGGGTTTCCTTGTCCACCTCCTGATGCTCTAGAGGGCCACCTGAGCTGTCAAACGGGCTGTTACAGAAGACAGAGGAGCCGATGTCTTTCAGCCTGGAAAGCTGCGGTTCTTTGGGGACAGAAGGACCTGGGGCTTTGTTCCCAGGCCTCCAGAGGTCTGGAAAATGTGTCTGATAGGGTGAGGGTGGCTGTTCTTATCTGAAAGGGTTGAGAAGCACACAGTAACTCCCCTCTTTGGCAGATACCAAAGTGTCTGGTAAATACTTCCTGGTGCCAGGTCTTGGGGCTCTTGAGGCATCAACCCAGACAGGTGCCCCATGAGCCTCTTCCACCCCTGTGTCACCAGTCATAGTGCTGGGGAAAGGGGAACTGTCTCTTGCTCTCCAGGGATCAGTTCTTTCTGAGGTTTTGGTCCAGTGGACCCTCAAGGACCTTCTCCTCACTACTACCTCCTTTCCTCTTCTCCACGTTTCTTTCCACCTTTCCTATGCTGCCATGGGAACTCAGGGCTAGCCTAGTGTTCTACCATGGAGCTACATGCCCATCTTGGCTTGGCTCCTATGTCCTGAAACCCCAGCTGACCTAGCCCAGCCATGGAAGGCATAAAGAAGGAGCAGGATCATAAGGGCACCTGGCCTCCCAGGACTGAGGGCCCTACTTACACAGTTTTTCCTATTCCCCCACAAAGGGAAATAGTGGCCCTTGAGATGTGCACAGTTTATTTATTCTACGTAGTGAATAGTAGCCTGTGTTTTTAAGGATGATTTAATTTCTGCACAGACCCTGCAATTCACCCTGCTTCTGTAACCTATGTCTGGCCCTCTAGCCCTGCCCAGAAGGTGAAGGGGCAGAGGGATCACAGGAACAGACCATAGCATAGATGGTGGTGTGTGAGTGGGTTGAATGAGGCAACTGAGCAATCAGACACACACTGAGCCATCATCCCCAGCCCGTAAAAGGAAAAGCATCCATCACCCAAATGTGTGAGTGACTCTTGGCTCTCCAGCTCATACAGACATACAAGCAAGCAAAACACTGATACACACACACACACACACACACACACACACACACTCAGGCATTCAGGGCTGGAGAGACGGCTCAGAGGTTAAGAGCACCAGCTGCTCTTCCAGAGGTCCTGAGTTCAATTACCAGCAACCACATGGTGGCTCACAACCATCTATAATGAGATCTGGTGCCCTCTTCTGGCCTGCAGGTGTACATGCATCCAGAACATTGTATACATAATAAATAAAATCTTTAAAAAAAAAAAAAAGACTGCCTAAAAAATAATAATAATAATTTTTTAAAAAAGAAAAAATACAAAAAATAAAAATAAATTAAAAAAAGAAAGAAAGAAAATGTACTGGAGAACAGACAGGTCCAGTGATACAAACCTGTAATCCTGCACTCGGGCAGCTAAGAGTTCAAGTCTCACCTGTCTCTCAAAAGTAAAATGAAGGGTTGAGAAGACGGCTCTGGGCATAACGTGTTTGTTGAACAAGCATCAGGACCTGGGTTCCAATCCCTAGAAACCACATGAAGCAGACACCAGAGCCCACAGTGCCTCTGCAGCAAACTAGGAGATGGAGACAGAATGGGCTGAGAGGTCAGAGCCTGATGTGCACAGCAGGACAAAAATAAGAGAGAGGGAAAGTAAGAAAGAAAACAAGAGTGCCTCTCTCAAATGCGGGGGGGGAAAAAGAGACGGACTGCCAAGGTTGTCTTCTCAGCTCTACCATATGCTGAGGCCCCTAAGCACACGTAAGTGGCATTCACACCAGCAAGTGCACGCTCATACACACAACGACTAAAAAGAAAATAAACTTAATAAAATAAGCAGGGCATGGTGGTGCACGCCTTTAATCCCAGCACTCAGGAGGCAGAGGCAGGTGGATCTCTGCGAGCTCGAAGCCAGCGTGGTCTGCATAGTGAGTTCTGGGACATCCAGGGCTACATAGTGAGAACCTGTCCTAAAAAAAGAAAAAGAAAAAGAAAAAAAAAAGAAAGCAAGAGAGAAGTGGATGGTGCCTGAGGAGCAACACCTAAAATAGACCTCAGGCCTCCACTTACACATTCACGTATGAGCACAGGCCCTCCCGAGTGCGCACACGTGCGCAGGGGCAGACACTCACACTCACACCAGGAAAGTAACGAGTGGACTACCTCCGTATTGAAAACATCCATAAAAACAAAGACCCGTGGGGAAAATGGGATTTTAATGGAAATCAAAGCAGGAGGTAGAAAAATTCCCTGGGGCTTACTGTGTCCCAGATGTTGGTATTGACACAATCTCAAATTATCTGGGAAAAGGAACCCCAATTGATGAGACACCTCCGTTAAGAGTGCCGGCAGGCACGCCTGTGGGGGTGTTCTCTTGATTAATGATTGGCGTGGGTGGACCTAGCTTCGGGCAGTGCCACCACTGGGCTGGCGGTCCTGAGTTATATAAGAAGCCAGGAGGCTGAGCAAGCCATGAAGAGCAAGCAAGTAGCAGTACCCCTCCATGGCCTCCTGCCTTCAGGTTGCTGCCCTGAGCTCCTGCCCTGACCTCCCTCCTTGACTCGGGACCTGAAAGTTGTAAGGTGACATAAACCCTTTTTCTTTTTTCGTCACAGCGGTATAAACCCAATTAAGGCTGCAGGAAATGAATTGCCAGTCAGGAAAGTGCAGCAATGGGGAAGGGGCATCTTTTCTCAAGCAGTGATCTACAAATGGAACTGCCCTGTTGTCCAGCCCCTTCCCCAGTCCCCATGGTGTCCCTTTACCCTACCCCTCTTTGCTCAGCCATCCAAGCCCCTGCCTCTGGTACACTTGTGGGTTCTAATCCCCTGACTGGCTGCAGTCTGACTTTGAAAGCCAATCTACCATGGTCCAAGCTACGTTTCTCAAGCCTACACCTTCCTTTCCACCTCCTCTACCCATCCTCAGGTTCTGGCCTTTGAACTCTCCCCCAGGGCCAGGGCTATTGCCTCCACGCCAGCAGGCACTCCATTAACCCTGCACATTGCTGCCAAGTTCACCTTAGGGCGCCTCTTTGGTGCTGTCCCTGCCGGTGAGCAGAGTCCAAACCAACCACTTTGCCCTCCTCCAGACACTGCTGTGCCCTGCATTTCCCTCCATTCATCACTGGCTGGGTGGACTGCAGGGGCTGGAGGAAGGGAGCTGGCGGCGGTGGCGGCAGCAGGAGCCAATTTTCCTGTCTGGGTGCACAGCAGAACTCTACCTATGTCCTAGGGACAGTGGTCCACTCTGCAAAAGCCCCCTTGACTTTGTGCCCATATTTGCTGTCTGGGGGCTTAGAACATGGCTCGGTTGACTATTTGCCTGGGATGTAAAAGAAGACCAGCGTTCCACTCTCAGCACTGCATAAACAAGGCATGATGGTGCCTAGTCTATGTAAACCACTTGGGAGATGGAATTTCTAGGCCATCTTTGGATGTGTAGCTAGTTTAAGGCCTACCTGAGCTACCTGTCTCAGAAAACAACAGAAAGAGTTCAAAGAATCAGAGCCAGGAGCTGGGATTGGGGTAGACGTAGGGGTATGGCTTACTGATGAAAGATAGCTGCTCAGCACGCACAGGGCTGGGTTCCAGTGTTCACTAACCAAGAGCCGGGCTGGGCAGGCCATATTCCCAACCGTTTGGGAGGTAAAACAATAGGATCCCTTGAGCCCAGGAGTTCAGAGAGTTGGGTTTGTAGTCAGTTGGCAGTCACAGAACAAAGCAGCCACTCACTTCCTCCAAGACTCCTTTCCTGGGAAGAGGGGCCCAAAATCACCTCCCCTCCATAACCACTGAACTACTTACCAGTCGACAGCACTTCTCAATGATGTAGAAAGAGTAGGAAATGATCATAAGCCAACTGCCTCATCTAGTGGTTCTGGGTATGAACTAATTCGATGGCAGACGACAGGAGACTGAAATGTCACGTGCTTTGGCAGCGGTGTTGGACTCTCAGTGAGAACTGAGAACTCTCCATCAGTGTGCTGGATGGGAATCAGGAAACTGAGGCCCTTCTACTGTGCCTTGGGGGGAGGGGTGCCTCTCTCCTTGTGCCCAATTCCACTACCCTAAGAAACCAGATCCCCGGGTGAGACATCCACCTGTAACTCTCTTGCCTTATTTTCCTCCAGGCTTTGAAGCAGTATGGCTGAACCCCGACAGGAGTTTGACACAATGGAAGACCATGCTGGGGGCTACACTCTGCTCCAAGACCAGGAAGGAGACATGGACCACGGCTTCAAAGGTCAGTGGACAGCCATGCACGACAGACAGGCCAGTCACAGCTCTGTCTGTTTGCCTCAGCAGGGGCTGCAAGAGGGGTTTAAATCCTAGGTCTTAAAGGAGTTGCTCACACCTTGTAGTATTAGAGCATTGGAGAGGGATGTCTTACTAATCTGAATGGCTAAGAAAAGTACAAATGTGAGGGTATTTGAAATTTCACTTCCCCAGACAGCGTGACAAAGATTGGGGGAAAGGCTGTCACTCTCAGCTCTCCAGGAGCCTCTTTGAGTCCTTAGCCATACAAACTTGGCCATGTGGACTCTGTCAAGCAAGAATAGGTTACTCTGGGATTCTGAGAATATCCACATTAATAGGGGTGCATCAGGGATGGGGCACGGCCTGATGCCACTGTCCAGTAATCCCAGGACTCAAGAGACAGGGGCAGGAGGATTGCTGCAGGTTCAAAGCCAACCTGGTTTACATAGTGAGTTCCAGTTCAGCCAAGACTACACATATCCCCATCTCAGACTGTCTTAGGGCTAGAGAAGGGGTCAATGGGTAAGAGCACTTGCTGCTCTTCCAGAGGACCCGAGTTTGGTTCCCAGCACCCATAGCAACCAGCCCACAGAATCTGTTTTTTGGGAACTGACACCTCCGTGTACTTACATAGCGTTCACACATCTGCATAAATAAAAATAATGGAAGTAAATCTGTAAAGCACACAAATTCAGCTTAATTCATTAAAACTGCACCGGGCCCTGCAGAGTCTGTGACGTAGTCTTCTGCCTATGTTGACATGGCAGCGAACTCTCCTCCTTCAAATGCCCCGGTTGTCCATTTCACTGTGTGCGTGTGTTCACGATCTGGGGGTGGAGTGGGGGTGGGGAGAGGTGGAGGGGCGGCTTAGGGACACACACACACACAGAGAACACTGAAATTACTAACCCTCATAATGTGCTGCGAAACAGAAGCTTGTTGACAAACCTGTAACTGTACTGAGATTTTCATCAGAGTGAATCTTCCTTGCTGCTGAGGGTTCAGAATGAGCTGTTTGCAGGTATGGAGTGACAGCTTTGACATGGCAGAAGGTATCACAGTACTAACAACAGCTCAGAGAGGTGACAAAAGGCTGTTTTGAGTAATGACAGGAGCCGCTGACTACCAGAACAGGGTGTCTAAGCAGATGCTAAAAGCTGGGATATGACTAGATCCGGCCAGAAAGACTGTGGCGTGGGGGACGCAGCCAGCCACACAGGCTCAGGAATTAAAAGGTGCTGATGTGTAGCGCTTTCCAGGCCTTTTAAGGAAGCGGCTTCCCTCCCTCTAAGATGATGTGAGTCCCTAGGGAGTCTGAGTCCAGCCTAGGATCCATGAGACACTGCGACAAAACAAAACATAAAAAGGCCCTTTCTTTGGCTGTACGTTGAGTGACGCTGTGAAGCGTCTCATCCCTCAGTGGACTTGAACACCATCTTCCTTTCCTCTTTGTGTTCGGCTCTGGACAAAGGACCAGCTCCTCCTCCACCACGGCAGAATTTCACTGTTGCCCAAGAGACAGCATCAGTCTCCACTAAGTGCCCCAGCCACACTGTCACCTGGCACGTGCCCCTTGTGCTCAGTGTTCCCAACCCACTGATGCAGCGTGGCTCTGGCCAGACTTTACATGGCTTTCTGTAGCTCCCTGAGGGCCTCACACTGCCGCACCTGGTCTGGACCTCCTTGAACACAAACCTCAGGTGTGCCTCAGCAGCTCTGTGACCCGAACATGCTCCCTTCTTTGTCCAGTCGTCACTAAGGACAACGAGGTGTCTGTCTGCATGTTTGTTTTGTCTTTGTTTTTTGAGAGAGGGTTTCTCTACATAGCCCTGGCTGTCCTGGAACTCACTATGTAGCCCTAGCTGGCCTCAAACTCACAGAGATCTGCCTCCTGAGTGTTGGGATTAAAAGCATGCACTACCATACCCAGCCCAAGGGCCATTTCCTGTGACACAGCATTGCCTTGACAAGCATGGACCCCAAGCCAATAGCCCCTCACCTGTGTGTGTACAGCTGAGAACGGCTCTCACTCTTCTCATGGTTCAGAAAGCCAACCATCGTGAGTGTCTGGCTTCCATCTTCAAGGAGTCAGAAAGATGTGGGCTCCTAGGTAGGCCCAGCCCTGTCCTGAATTCTAACAGAATTCTGTTTTTAGGGACAGCAGATTGAATGGGTTCCCTCTTTGCCAGGCAGTAGTTTTTCAGCCTACAGCTGACGGGGTGTCTTAGGGTTTTACTGCTGTGAAGAGACACCAAGACCACGGCAACTCTTAAAAGAAAAAAAAATTAACTGGGGCCGGCTTACAGTTCAGAGGTTTAGTCTGCTGTCATCAAGGCGGAAAGCACGGTGGCACGCAGGCAGACGTGGTGCTGGAGAGGGAGCTGAGAGTTCTACATCTAGATCCGCAGGTAGCAAGAAATGGCAGTGACACACTTCTGAGGCCTCAGTGACACATTTCCTCCAACAAAGTCACAGGAACTCCAACAAGGGCACATCTCCTGATAGTGCCCCTCCCTATGGGCCTGTGGAGGCCATTTTTATTCAGACCATCACATAGGATGCTAATCTCTTGTGGGGCGTGAAGTGATACTAGACTTTCTCCCCCTGGTCAGATCCCATTTGTCCCTGTGATACAATGGGCAGGTGGCTCTTGGATCCTCTGGAGAGTCCTAGTCAACATCTGCACTGGAACGAAAGAGAAAGAGAAAAGAGCCTTGCACATTCCTACTGATGCACAGTGCTCTGAGCCCTCCAGCACATTCCTACTGAGGCACAGTGCTCTGAGCCCTCCAACCAAGGTGAAGGAAACACCAACGATTGACCACCTCCCACGAAGTGTCTCACATGCCAGGCAAAGAGCTTTACCCAGTAGTGACCTGAAGGCCAAGAGCCCCTGGGAAGACAGGAGCGGGCTTTCTAGATCCACTGCCAGGTTGTCAGTATTAGCGCCTTTGCCACAATTGAACCTGGGTGATTGAAAAGTCTATCTTTAGTTCCAGCACTCAGGAGGCAAAGGCAGGCGGATCTCTCTGAGTTCAAGCCCAGTGTGGTCTACAGAGTAAGTTCCAAGATGGCTGTAACTACACAAAGAAACCCTACACAAAGAGAGGACTGGAGAGATGACTCAGAGCAACAGGTCCTGATTTCGATTCCCAGCAAACACATGGTGGCTCACAACCATCTACAATGAGATCTGGTGCCCTCTTCTGGCATGCAGGTGTACATGCAGACAAAACACTAAACACATAATAGATAGATAGATAGATAGATAGATAGATAGATAGATAGATAGATAGATAGATA